CCCTGTGCCGGCAGGACTGAAGACCGACAGGTCGCAGGTTCAAATCCGGGGAGAAGCGGATGAGCTCCCTCTATCAGCTCCAGCTCCTCATGCGGGGACATGAGAGAAGCCTCCCACAAGGATGATAAAACATCAAATCATCTGGGCGTCCCCTGGGCAACGTCCTTGCAGACGGCCAATTCTCTCACAACATGAGCGACTTGCAGTTTCTCAAGTCGCTCCTGACACGACAAAGAAAATTGTTCAGTCACTTCCGACTCTTGGTGACCTCATGGACCAGCCCACGCCAGAGCTCCCTGTCAGCCGTCATCACCCCCAGCTCCTTCAAGGTCAAGCCATTCCCTTCAAGGATGCCATCCATCCATCTTGCCCTCTTCCTTTTTCCTTCCATTTTCCCCAGCATCATTGTCTTCTCTAAGTTTTCCTGCCTTCTCATTATGTGGCCAAAAAAACTTCATCTTTGCCTCTAATATCCTTCCCTCCAATGAGCAGAAATAATCCTCACAGTCCTGCTATGTCACCAATCCATGGCTATTCCATCAATCCTGTGATGGTTCCTTCCACATACTCTTGGAAACCCATCTTCCTGAATTTCTGCCGCTCTGTTTCATAACATGAGTTAGGAAGAACGCTTTAGGAAATATTCTGGAGGAAGGCACAGCTGACCGGCCGGAGCGGTGAATAGGGGCACTGTACACGGCAACATTTTGTTCCAAGTTTCTTGACTCACCAAGCTCCGCTTTGTGTTTGTGTCTTTCTTTCTAAGCCTTAGCAAGAACAGTTTTCTGTATAGCCAAACTTTTGTGGTTAGCTGTTCTGTCCCAGTAGCTGCTTTCTTGAACTGCTTACAAAGAAATAGAATCCATGTTGGCAATCTATATTTCCATTTACAAACACATAGCTTATTTCAAAAACCCAAACGCTAATATGTAATGGTAATACGGAGCATTTTCCCCATCAAGCAAAGAGAAGAGGTAGAGAGGACTGCTGGGTTGTTGCTTCCAAGGGCTCCTCCACCAAATATACACATACGCTCAAACCTCAAAGAAACAAACATTTTGAGAACTGAAACTATTGGTAATTCCACAAATGACTAAGTGGGTTTTTTTAAAAGGGTAAGTGCATTTTTCCTTTCTAATTACAAACTTTGCAAGTTTCTCAAAGACACAATTTGGATACATTAGCTGTTGTTGTCCCTAATTAGCAGTATGTGCCTTACTTAATGGGTCAGGAAAAATGCTGACAATGAAAGGTTTCAAATTACAGTATATTCTGGCGTATAAGACTACTTTTTAACCCAAGAAAATCTTCTCAAAAGTCAGGGGTCGTCTTATACGTGGGTGTAGTTTTATGCATGGGAGTCGTCTTAACTCTATATTTTAACTGGAAAAGTTGGGGGTCGTCTTATACGCCCAGTCGTCTTATATGCCGGAATATACGGTAAATCCCAAATTGTATTTTTACATGCATTTTGAATGGATCATTTGTCTTGAAAGGAAGACGAAAGAGTTGCTGTCCAAACAGTATTGTTTTTTAAACACAAAGCTTTCAACCATGCTATTTTAATAAAACTTTGCAGGACTTGGCAATAGAATTTATGAAGTTATGTTTAAAAAATATATATATTTGGGGTTGTAAAAGTGTATTTCCCTCCCAAACTGCTTGAGATGAAGATCTCTCTGCAATCGGATTTCACTCTTAGCAAATTAATCTACTTGGAGCCAACATGGTTTGGTTGTCCAACTACAACATCATAGGTCTGAGTTTGAACCTTCTCTCAGCCATGGAAACTCATCCAACCATAAAATTGATGTTGTCATTTGGGAGTTATACTGCTGGGATTTATAGTTCACATACTGCAGGGGCTTGGGGGGAATTGACTTTGTTTTTGGTAGTTGTAGTTCACATGCATCCAGAGAGTACTGAACCCAGCCAATGTTGGATCTGGATTGATTTTGTCATTTGGGAGTTGTAGTTGCTGAGATTTATAGTTTGGTTACAATCAAAGAGCATTCTGAACTCCATCAAACTTGGCACGCAGAACTCCCATCAAATTGAATCAGTGTTGGCACACAGAGCTCCCATGACCAACAGAAAATACAGGAAGGGTTTGGTGGTCTTTGACCTTGAGTTTTGGAGTTGTAGTTCACCTACATCCAGAGAGCCGTGTGGACTCAAACAATGATGGGTTTGGATCTGGACCAAACTTGGCACGCATCCTCAAAATGCCTGAATGTAAGTTAGGGGGCAAAATAAGCTTGTCATTTGGGAGTTGTAGTCGTTGGGATTTATAGTTCACTTATAATCAAAGAGCATTCTGAACCCCACCAATAGAATTGGGCCAAACCCCCATGAACAACAGAAAATACTGTGTTTCCTGGTGGTCTTTGGAGACCCCTCTGGCACCCTCTCACATCCCCCTCCCCCAGGATTCCTGTCCCTCAGGTTGAGAAATGCTGATCTAGATTATCAAAGCAGATAGTCCACATTATCTGCTTTGAACTGGATCATAAGAGTCTACACCAGGTGTCCTCAAACTAAGACCTGGGGGGTGGATACGGCCCTCCAAGGTCATTTACCCGGCCCTCACTCAGGGTCAGCCTAAGTCTGAAATGGCTTGAAAACACACAACAACAACAACAATCCTATCTCATCAGCCAAAACAAACAAACACAAAGTTTGCAAACTGGGTGTTCTATTAAATGTTCTTTGACCAGTAGCTGCAGTCTTCCAGATAATCCAGTTCAAAGCAGATAATCCGGATTTTATATAGTGGTGTAGAAGGGGCCTAAGATTCTACTGTGTTCCAGTTTGTGGCATCAGTGGTTATTTATTTATTTATTTACTGTATTTGTGTACCACCTTTCTCAGCCTATCAGCGACTCAAGGTGGTTTCCAACAAAACAGTATACATAATATCATAATACAATTTAAATCATTAAAATTACATAAACCACAACAGCAATAAAAACAACATCATTGGCGTCTCCTTATTGTCAAGCATTGCCCAATTCCATCATCAATCGCGACTTTCCTGTATCAGTTGCCTGTATCCGTTACTCTGTATTTGTGAACGCTTGCTCAAATAGTCACGTTTTGACTTGCTTCTGAAACGTTAAGAGAGAGGGAGCAGATCTAATCTCTCTAGGGAGGGTGTTCCATAGCCGGGGGGCCACTGCTGAGAAGGCCCTGTCTCTCGTCCCCACCAACCGTACCTGTAACAAAGGCGGGGCTGAGAGCAGGGCCTCCCCAGATGATCTTAAGGTCTTAGATGGTTCATAAGGGGAGATACATTCGGACAGGTAAGTTGGGCCAAAACCAGAAAGGACCAGAGCCACTGCAAAACAGTACCCCCCAGGCCCATCCCAGCGAGGCGTCCCAGAGAGGTCCAGCAGACCCAACAGGGACACACTCCCCCTGTCTAGCTCCTGGCATAGATCATCAACTAAGGCGACCAAGTTCCAAAGCCAGACTGTGCCGAATCCAGATAATCCACGTCTTCCAAGAATGCCTGGAGTTGTGAGGCCACCACACGTTCCAGGACTTTGCCCCAAAGGGGAGATTGGAAACTGGCCGCTAGTTGACGAATTGAGTGGGGTCCAGTGATGGTTTTTTCAACAGCGGTTTTATCACAGCTTGTTTTAAGCTGGCTGGAATTTTGCCTTCCCGAAGGGAGGCATTAACCACCACCTTCACCCACTCGGCCAATCCCCCTCTGGCCTCCTTCAGAAGCCAGGATGGGCAGGGGTCTAGAATGCATGTGGTTGGCCTCATTCCACCAAGTATCTTGTCCACATCTTCGGGTTTCACCAATTGAAGTGAATCCATTAAAATCGGACAAGCAGGTGCTCGTGTTACATCCTCAGAGACCGTCATTAACATGGTGTCCAGGCCAGAACGGATCAAAGCGACTTTGTCCGCAAAGAACCGAGCAAATGCTTTGCAGCGGGCTGTCGAGTTGTCAGGGTTCCCATCTGTGATGAAGTGTAAATTTTTAACTCGCAGTTAGGTATAATTATAGATAAGTGCTTAAGTTGCATAACGAAGGGGGAAGGCAGCCAGTTCAGTTCATGTTGAGCTGGGTTACCATGGAAACAGGGGCGGAGCCAACTGCCACTTGGCAGGGCAGCCATTTTAAAACAGTTAGTCTACAGCCTGTGAACGGTAGGAGAGGCTGGTTCTGTTGAGTAGAGAGAACCAGAAGGGATCTGTAGTTTACAAACTACAGGGAAAGGACTGATTCTTCTGTAGTAAGAATCAGGGAGGTTTTGGCTTTTAGCCTGAGTAGTTTAAATAAGTCGAGTGACTTATTTAAATTAAAAGTAGCTGTTGTGGAAAAGGACCGTCATAAAGAAAGGATAAGCGTGTGCCTGAAACAACCTGTTAAAGAAAGAAACGTCTCTTTTTAAGGGAACTCAGTTTGAGACCTGTTTGTAAGAAGGATTAGACCTCCTAAGACTTATTTAAGAACTGTTATGAATGTAACCATTAAAGATCTCTACCTCCAAGAGAAGAGAAACTTTGAAACCATCACGTTTCTGTACCTCAATGAACTTGTTCTTTTGGAAGTCAAGCCTGTGTTGCCATTCTTTTCCAAGTCAAGTCACGCTACATATTAGAGAAAGACCAAAGCAACATTGCAAGCTATTGGTTGCGTCACCAATTTAGAAAGCCTTTTGCCAACTTTCTACATATTAGTAGCAGTTATACCCATACATCCTTACAATTGGTGGCATCATTGCAAATTAGTGGCCAAGTCTTTAGAAATAGGAACAATAATATGCGGCCCCCTTCACAATATCATACTAAAAACATGGCACTTTAACATGTCTCTCCACCTTGGGCACGTTCTTCAGTTGCATCAGCAAAACTTTGCAAACTATTCAATGTGTGGTTTTGCTTGAAGCTTGTGTCTAGCTGGAAAGATTTCTGCTTTCTCCTCCAAAGTCTGGAAATGACTCCCTGGCAATGTGATTTTCTAATCCATTTAGTAAGATGGTGCGATGGCTGAGGGACTGCTCTGAAGCAGCTGCATCTGCCAAGATAAACAACTGGCCATTTTAGGTAGTGAACATGCCCCACCTCCTGCCTCATATGTGGAGAGAGGCCGGCTTCAGAACACAGAAAGAGTTTCCTCCCCCAAAGAAGGGAGCCTTGGAGAAAGAAGCACACCAGAAAATCGGCCGAATAAGGGTAAGTGAATGCCGCCTTTATTAAATCTAATTAAATTAAGTCGAGTGTTTACGGCTGCTATGTTACATAAATCATCGTAGCGAATGCCTGGCACTTTCTATTTCTTTTTCAACTTGCTTTGAATGGACACATTGTTTGTTAGGAAGTCTTACATACAGAAGGCATCCTCCGTCCACATCTTTCTGGTTTAGGAATGGCAAATTATCCCAGGAGACTGAATTTCTAGGGCTAATTCATCTTTTGCAAAGGATGCACATACATCCTGGCAACGGTGGCAAATGACATCACTTCATATTTTGCCCCTGAGGATGTTCCAGTTCATTATATAATGTGAGAAATAAATGGGATTTTGTATTGTCGGAGGCTTTCATGGCCGGAATCACTGGGTTGTTGTAGGTTTTTTCGGGCTATATGGCCATCTTCCAGAGGCATTCCCTCCTGACATTTCGCCTGCATCTATGGCAAGACCTCACAACCTCTGAGGATGCTTGTCATAGATGCAGGCAAAACGTCAGGAGAGAATGCCTCTGGAACATGGCCATATAGCCCAAAAAAACCTATAACAACCCAAATGAGATTTCGCTGGTTTTGCCCACGAGAGCTCTGCATTTAGAGCCAACCTTACTAGCGAGGAACAAGGATTTTTCAATGGCTGTAGCAGCATAGTGAAACTGCCTGTCCAAACCATTCAAAACATCATGCGAAATTCCCACCAAGAGGGAGAACAGGTTGTTTTGTTGGATCAATGGGAGTGGGAGGCAAGGCATTTGGAAACAAGGCATGCCCACGCAGGCTTCCCAGCAAACAGAAGCTCCTTTCCCAGCAACCGCAGTTGGAAGCTCGAAAAGAGCAGGAGCCAAGAGATATAAATAATTCTGAGAAATGTGCCCGCTCTTAAGATTCCGTTCATTTCCATTTCCAAAATCTGCCAAGCGCGCTGCCTCTACGCTATAGAAAAAGGGAGGAAGAAAACATGTTTTTCTCAGAAGGCATGTCTTTGCACATGAGAAGAGGGAAATGATTCATACTGATGGGGGGAAACAGTAGCTCTGTTGAAAAGATTTGGTGTTAGAAGGTGGCAAGCGGCCATCCTGAGCATGACTCATGTTGTGCTACATATTTAGAGAAGCAGGCTTTGGATTGGATCCAGCATGCATTTCTTCCTCTCTCTTTCCGCCAGCCCTGTGTGAAGGGCCATTCTGTCCACTAATGGCGGATTTTTTGGACGTGGAAGAAAGCTGGCGTCAGCACCATGGTCTGAATGGTATAGTGACACATGATTCTTTTATTGCCAAATTGTGTTTTATGCACTATAGCGGACATCGGTGTAGATCAGTGTTTTTCAGCCTTCCTAATGCCGTGACCCCTTAATACAATTCCACATGTTGCCGTGACCCCCAACCATAACATTATTTTCGTTGCTACTTCATAACTGTCATTTTGCCACTGTTTTGAATAATCATGCAAATATCTGATGTGCAGGATGTATTTTCATTCACTGGACCAAGTTTGGCAGAACGGATGTGAGAGCTGGACCTTAGGGAAGGCTGAGTGAAGGAAGATCGATGCTTTTGAGCTGTGGTGCTGGAGGAAAGTGCTGAGAGTGCCTTGGACTGCGAGAAGATCCAACCAGTCCATCCTCCAGGAAATAAAGCCCGACTAAAGCTCACTGGAGGGAAAGATACTAGAGACAAAGTTGAAGTACTTTGGCCACATCATGAGGAGACAGCAAAGCCTAGAGAAGACAATTATGCTGGGGAAAGTGGAAGGCAAAAGGAAGAGGGGCCGACCAAGGGCAAGATGGATGGATGGCATCCTTGAAGTGACTGGACTGACCTTGAGGGAGCTGGGGGTGGTAACGGCCGACAGGGAGCTCTGGCGTGGGCTGGTCCATGAGGTCACGAAGAGTCAGAGACGACTGAACGAATGAAATATACCCAATACGCCCAAATTTGAATACTGGTGGGGTTGGGATTGAGTTTGTCATTTGGGAGTTGTAGTTGCTGGGATTTATAGTTCACCTACAATCAAAGAGCATTGGAATTGAACCAAACTTGGCACACAGAACTTCCATGACCAACAGAAAATACTGGAAGGGTAGGTGGGCATTGACCTTGAGTTTTGGAGTTGTAGTTCACCTACATCCAGAGAACACTGTGGATTCAAGCAGTGATGGATCTGGACCAAACTTGGCATGAATATTCAATATGCCCAAATGTGAACACGGGTGGAGTTTGGAGAAAATAGACTTAGATATTTGGAAGTTGTAGTTCCTGGTATTTATAGTTCACCTAAAATCAGAGTATTCTGAACTCCACCAATGATACAATTGAACCCAACTTCCCACACAGAATCTCCATGACCAACAGAAAATATTGTGTTTTATGATGGTCTCTGGGACCCCTCTGACACCCATGTGACCCCCCCCCCCCCCCCCAGGGATCCTGACCCCCAGGTTGAGAAACACTGGTGTAGATACAAGCCCTTGTGTATATATGATGCTATGTCATAGATGCCACATTCCAGTTGTCATATCTTACATGAAATAAAAGGTAAAGGTTTCCCGTTGACATTAAGTCTAGTCATGTCCGACTCTGGGGGGTAGTGCTCATCTTGCCGAAGAACCAGCGTTGTCCATAGAGACCTCCAAAGTCATGTGGCCGGCATGACTGCATGGAGCACCGTTACCTTCCTGCCAAAACGGTACCTATCACATTTGCATGTTTTCAATCTGCTAGGTTGGCAGAAGCTGGGGCTAACAGCAGTAGCTCACCCCATTCCCCGGATTCAAACTGCCGACCTTTCAGTCAGCAATGTGTTGTCAAAGGCTTTCATGTCCAGAATCACTGGGTTGCTGTGAGTTTTCCGGGCTGCCTGGCCATGTTCCAGAAGCATTCTCTCCTGACGTTTTGCCTGCATCCTCAGAGGTTGTGAGGTCTGTTGGAAACAAGGCAAGTGGGGTTGATATATCTGTGGAATGTTCAGGGTGGCAGAAAGAACTCTTGTCTGTTGGAGGCAAGTGTGAATCTTGCAACTGGCCTCCTTGATAAGTATTGAAAGGCCTTGCACCCACATTTTACAGACAAGAGTTCTTTCTCCCACCCTGGACATTTTTCAGGTTGAATTGCCATGTTCCATTCTCTCCTGATGATTCGCCCACATCTATGGCAGGCATCCTCAGAGGTTGTGAGGTCTGTTGGAAACAAGGCAAGTGAGGTTTATATGTCCAGGGTGGGAGAAAGAACTCTTGTCTGTTGGAGGCAAGTGTGAATCTTGCAACTGGCCTCCTTGATAAGCATTGAATGGCCTTGCACCCACATTTTACAGACAAGAGTTCTTTCTCTCACTCTCCCCATTCCACAGATATATAAACCCAACTTGCCTAGTTTCCAACAGACTTCACAACCTCTGAGGATACTTGCCATAGATGTGGGTGAATCATCAGGAGAGAATGCTCTTGGAATATGGTAATACAGCCCAGAAAACTCCCAGCAACCCAGAAATCGATTAGTTTGCTGCTCACAGAGGCAAATTTTAAGATGAAGACAGGCATGCCCATCTCATCCTTCTTTGGATACCTTCTCCTGCTGCGCAATGAAATATTAGTGCTCCAGGCTGGAGCTCACCGAGAGAGGTTTGAGTGTTTGTTTTTTTAATGCAGAGTTTCTTCTTCTTCTTCTGGAAGCCGACTTGCAATACTCTGATGACAGAGCCAAGAATGTATAGCTTCTATCCTCTGTTTCTGACCATCTGGATACAGACTTGACGATGAATTGGAGAACCAAGCATACTCTTCTCCAAATCCCCTCTCTTGTTGTTTCAATTGTTTTTGTTTCAAATGCCAGTCTTAACAGTCTGTGCTGTCCTAATTTTATAGACTCTGGAAATTCACAGATCCACTTTAGGCTGTTTGTGCCCCACTCCTGGATGCGTCTTGCTTTGAATTTGCAAACTAATACATTTTGCATATCTGTATTAGTCCTCCAAGGGTGAAAAAAATACATCATTTTCACTTTCCAAACTTTGCAGCTCTGATTTGATATTAGAAGTACTGATTCTAATGATATATATAGGGGGCATAGAAAAAGTGTATCCATTAGATCCCGTATTGCCTGCTCCTGAGATAGAATCCTAGAATCCTAGAGCTGGAAGGGACCCCCAAGGGCCATCCAGTCCAACCCCCTGCCATGCAAGAAGGCACAATCCAAGCACTCCTAAAAGACAGCCTCTGCTGAAAAGCCTCCACCACACTCGGAGGCAGCTTATGCCACTTTCCAACAGCTCTTCCTAATATTTTCAGTCACATCTCTTTTCCTTCCATTTGAGCCCATTGCTCCCTTCTTGTGCCCTAGTCTCTACAGCAGCAGAAAGTCAGTTATCCCCCCCCTCCTCAATGCGTAAAGGTAAAGGTAGTCCCCTGACATTAAGTCCAGTCATGTCTGACTCTGGGGTGTGGTGCTCATCTCCATTTCTAAGCCGAAGAGCCAGCGTTGTCCATAGACACCCCCAAGGTCATGTGGCCGGCATGACTGCATGGAGCGCCGTTACTACTAGTTACGCCTGTTAAATCTTGAAACATGGTTCTCATGTTCCTTCTCTACTTTCTCTTCTCCCACCTAAACTGTGGCAAAATGAAAATCACGCATAGTTTACATTTTACCAGTCCACACACTGTCTTGCCAGAGAAAGAAAACATGACACACAGATTATGCAGAGCAACATATATGCAATCATGAGAACAGTTGTGTTGACTCACACAATGTCTTTTTTGAAAGAGATTCAAATGCCATTTAGATGTCCATGTGGGAGATCTTCTTACAGCAGTTCATGAAGCAAGAACCGTCTCTCTTAGTCTGCAGGCTTCTGCACAGATAAAGCTTCAATATGTAACTGTTGTCAAAACTCCCAAGCTCAGCTAGCCTCTTAGGCATGGCCCAACCAATCAGCTTTGTACTTTACATTTTCAGTTAACACACTCACTAACTGATTTTTTACATGCCCGAACATAAACAAGAGGAGAAAGAGAAAAGAGAAGGAAGGAAGGAAGGAAGGAAGGAGGGAGGGAGGGAGGGAGGGAGGGAGGGAAGGGAGGGAAGGAGGGAAGGAAGGAAGGGGGAGGAGGAAGGAAGAAAGGAAGGAAGGAAGAAGGAAGGAAGGAAGAAGGAAGAAAGGAAGAAGGAAGGAAGGAAGGAAGGAAGGAAGGAAGGAAGGAAGGAAGGAAGAGAGAAAGGAAGGGGGGATGAAGAAAGGAGGAGGAAAGAGGGAGGAGAGAAAGGGAGGGAAGGAAGGAAGGAGAAAGGGAGAGAGGGAAGGAGGGAGGAAAGAGGGAAGGAAGGAAAGACAAAAGGGAGGAAGGAAAGGAAAGGAAAGGAAAGGAAAGGAGAAGGAAGGAAGGAAGGAAGGAAGGAAGGAAGGAAGGAAGGAAGGAAGGAAGGATAGGATGGTGAGAGAGAGGAGGGTCTGAGAAACGAGCCCAAGGGGCCGCATCCGACCTCTGCGCCTGGGTCTGCCCATACGTGATATATAGGCTAGGGAAATGCAATCCAGAATTTATAAAGCACTGGAGGACAATAAGAGATTGCTTTTGAAATTCCTGATCGTGTCCTATAATTAAATGTGGTCCTGAAATAAATTAGAATATTTATTTCCAAAGAGAGAGAGGGAGAGGAAAGAAGCCCTGATGTCTTTTGCTCAGTCAGATCTCTACTTTGGGTGTGGAAGGCTGGGTGTGGTTTTCTCCTCTGTGATACAAAACAGTACGTAAGAACATTTCTGGTTTGATCAATGAGAAAGGAGCATTTCTGCTTAAATTATGTTTCCTTTGCACAGGAAAAGGCCCGGCACTTGCATTTTCTTCAATGCGTGTGTTATTTATTGATGTGGAGGCTTAGGTTTGAATCCAAAGTGGGACTTGCCGACTCGGCTGCTTTGCCTGGCAGTTGGCCGCTCGCTCGTGATGCTTCCCTCCCATGATGCCTCCAAGAGCTCAAAGTTGTAAACAAGGGCTGGGTTTACAGCAAAATCCAGAAAATCCTAATTGGCATTTCTGGTTATGCATGCGCTGAGAGCATTAAGGGTTTGCGTTGACAGCTTGATTATTATTGCCATGAGAGGCGTGCATTCAAAAAAGTCAATATTTACACAAGATTAAAAAACCTCCACCAGATAAAAGAACTAAACAACAAAAATCAGGAAATCACGGATTAAAATCTGGAGAGATCTTCTGGTCCTATTCAACATCTTTATTAATGGCATAGATGAAGGGTTAGAAGGCATGAGCATCAAGTTTGCAGATGACACCACATTGGGAGGGATTGCCAATGCTCCAGAAGACGGGAGCAGAATCCAAAATGATCTGAGCAGATTAGGGCAGGGCTCCTCAAACTAAGGCCTGGGGCCCAGATATGGCCCTCCAAGGTGATTTACCCGGCCCTCGCTCAGGGTCAACTTAAGTCTGAAACGACTCAAAAGCACACAACAACAACAACAATGCTATCTCATCAGCCAAAAGCAGGCCCACACTTCCCATTGAAATACTAATAAGTTTATCTTTGTTAAAATTGTTCATCATTTTAATTATTGTATTGTTTTAAAGTGGTTTTTTGCACTACAAATAAGATATGTGCAGTTTGCACAGGAATTCATTCATTTTTTTTTCAAATTATAATCCGGCCCTCCAACAATTTGAGGGACTGTGACCTGGCCCTCTGTTTAGAAAGTCTGAGGACCCCTGGATTAGAGAGATGATGGGCCAAAACTAACAAAATGAAGTTCAACAGAGACAAATGCAAGAAACTCCACTTAGGCAGAAAAAAGGAAATGCAAAGATGCAGAATGGGGGACGCTGAGGCCTGGCTCGAGAGCAGGACGTGCGGAAAAGATCTTGGAGTCCTCCTCGTGGGGAGGAAGAAGGGGAACACGAGACAGGAATGTGATAGTAGTATCTATTGAATTTGTGTGGATAATTCCATGTGTTTGTTTTTGAAGAATTTGTACTTTTAAAATATGTAGGACGGGAAAAACGTGATACTTCAACAAGATTCCAAGTTTCAGTGATAGAGATTGGGAAACTGGCACATTCCCTTGTCTGTAGTCACACCCTATGCATTCAGCAAAGCCAAGTCAAAGTGTATGCTACTCAAGCAGTATCTTCTCAAGCTCATCTGCACATGGGAAGCTTTTCATATGATGCTGGGCATTTGCCAAATGATTCCTAATATTGTGAAATCCAGTTGCATAGATCCTAATGCTTCACATATGAAATTAGTGGGGCCAGGAAGGCAGTTCCATCTTGCCTCCAGTGTCATCAGTTGGGAAACCCCCCCCCCCCCATCCAGCACCAACCTCTGCTCTGAGATCAGAGTGAAGAAAGGGGCCAGGAAGGCAGTTCCAACTTGTCTCCTGCACTGTGCTTATAATAATATAATATAATTTAATATTACATAACATTTAATATTTTATATTAAATGTAATATTACTAATAATATTATAGTATATTGTTATAGTACAATGTAATATATAATATTAATATTGTGCTATGGTAATAATATAATATATTGTATTTACCGTACTTTTTATTTGTAAGTCACTCTGAGTCCCCTTCGGGTTGAGAAGGGCGGCATATAAATGTCGTGAAAAAATAAATAAACATAAATATGAAATTAGTGTAAGACTTGCAAATGCATTCCCTTCCCTGTTGCCGCTATCTGTCTGGTATGATGGATTACTGCTAGAGCATATCCACCCATTTTTACATATTGTTAAAGGCTAGACACAATATATTGCATTATTCTCAATGTGCAAGGAGGTCCTGGTGGTGCAATGGATGAAGCCCTTTTGCTGGCAGGTGAGCTCCTGCCTGTCAGCTCCAGCTTCTGATGTGTGGATATTAGAGAAGCCTTCGATAGGATGGTAAAACATCCAGGCATCCCCTGAACAATGTCCTTGCAGACAGTCAATCCTCTCACACCAGAAGCGACTTGCATTTTCTCATGTTGCTCCTGACATGAAAAAACAAAACAAAACATAAAATTTGTGCAATGTTCTGTTCTACTTCTGTTTCTGTTTTCAAATCCAGGTTGCTTGTTCTTGAGACTGCAGATGTGAAATTGTTTAGTTTGCAAATATGGAGTCATATATGGGAAGAGGTACATGGGGGTGATAGCATGAGTTATTGTATTGGGTGACATTGATCTTAAGAATGCCACTGAAAGGTAGAAGAATGAGGAAAGGAAAGAGCAAGTCGTTTCCTCTGTGATGTTGAAGGAACCGGCGTTGCTCACTCACATCTCCTTAACATTACTTCTACTTGCTTTCTAAGCCTTGTTTCCCCCCCTCCTGGAACATCTTTCTCTTGCTTTTTCTGGGCAAAGTTTGATCAGCAGGACAAGTGAAGCTGTTAGGAAGGAAGAGCACAGCATATCCATGAGACTGGTATCCATAGTTTCATACATCCACATCTGACAAAATAACCTTTTATTTGCAAAGCAGAGGCCCTCCCTTTGTTTAATATTCCTTGCAAAATATAGCACCTTTCTCATTTCTAAAATTTCCTCAGTACATGCAGAAGAACAATTACATGTCCATGATGCGCTCCTTCCCATGATACAAAGAATTAAGCATTGGCAACACAATATGAAACAAAGAGCCCAGCATTCCATTGGTTACATCTGTATCAACCGACTGTCCTGTTGATCAATAACCTTGATGCTATTATCCTGTTGCTGGAACTGTTGTGATGACACGAAAGAACCCATGTGGGACCAAGGCCCTCAATGGTAGCCTTCTCTACCACCAAAAGGTGCATCTGTCAAGTAGGAAATGTAGGTACCACTTATGCAGGGAGGCTGATTTACAATGCCATAAAAAATTCCAGCAAGCATGCAAAGAATGAGGAAGTACTCCATCATTGTTACTAGTGGACGGTGAAGCGACAGCTCCCCTGGTGGCCAGAATACCCTCATGAAAAAGATGGAATGTCAAATAGCCTCTGTGTGTCTATCTATATATGTTGTGTGTCTATGGCATTGAATGTTTGCCATGTATATGTACATCGTAATCCGCCCTAAGTCCCTTGAGGGGTGAAAAGGGCAGAATATCAATACTGTAAATAAATAAATAAGTAAGGGTGCTTGATTCCGAGTTTGGGACCAGATTTACTTCAACCACACATGCACGCAAGACCTGTTAGGGGTCCTCCTTACTGTTGCTAATACACATGGGGCGCTGTTAATCCATGTCCCTGGTGGCACAGTGGGTTAAACCCTTGTGCCAGCAGGTTGGAGGTTCGAATCTGGGGAGAGTGGGTTGAGCTCCCTCTGTCAGCTCTAGCTCCCCATGCGGGGATATGAGAGACACCTCCCACAAGGATGATAAAACACAAAAACATCCAGGCATCCCTTGGGCAACGTCCTTGCAGACAGCCAATTCTCTCACACCAGAAATGACTTGCAGTTTTTCAAGTCGCTCCTGACACAAAAAACAAAACAAAACCCCGAAGTTGTGACAATGCAGGAAGCAGACACAGTAAATATACACATACAACAAAGTGTAATGCAGGGAAGGTATGCGAGATGATGCTCCATAAGGGATTGCTGATTCTTCGTTTGGGCAGTCACATGCCAGTGTTGGGAGGAAATGGAAACCATTATGCTCTGTACTGCCCAATCCTACAACACTTGAGTTGTGCAAAGTTGTTTGAGAAACTCTATTATTGCCTGTTTGCAGAGATGTATTTTACAACATCTTCTTTTTGTCTTATTTGTCTCCAGTTTTAATAATATTTTTTCACTCTTTTGTTTTTCAGAATAGCCAACATGGGAAAGTACCTGGTGCTTTGCTCAATAGTGATGCTCTTTGTTCTGCTTCAGACAGAAGTCATCATGTCCCTTTCCAGAAGAGGAAGCAGCAGGCCCAGTGGTGGCAATCGAGGGAGTCACCACAAGCCCAGCAGGCCAGTACATCAGCCTAGCAAACCCAGCAGGCCAGTACATCAGCCTAGCAAACCCAGCAGGCCTGTGCATCAACCAAGTTATCCTGGCAATCCTGTACACAAACCTATAAAACCTGTACAAAACCCTGTCAAACCTGTGCAGGAAGTACCGGTCCAGTCCGCACGCCAACCTGTCCAGCCTGTGCAAAACCCCGTGGTGCCACAAAACAAACCCGCAAATAACCCTCCTCCGTATAATCCTGCATACCAGCCAAATAATCCTGCCAACCCTGCACAAAACCCTGTGGTGCCACAAAACAAACCCGCAAATAACCCTCCTCCATATAATCCTGCATACCCACCACATAATCCTGCCAATCCCGCACAAAACCCTGCTTATCCTCCACATAATCCTGCCAACCCTGCACAAAACCCTGCTTAYCCSCCACATAATCCTGCCAACCCTGCATACCCACCACATAATCCTGCTAACCCCGCACAAAACCCTGCTTATCCTCCTCATTATCCTGCCAACCCCGCACAAAACCCTGCATACCCGCCACATAATCCTGCCAACCCTGCTTACCCACCACATAATCCAGCCAACCCTGCATATCCACCGCATAATCCCGTCAACCCYGCACAAAACCCTGCATACCCGCCACATAACCCTGCCAAYCCTGCATACCCGCCACAAAATCCTGCCAACCCCGCACAAAACCCTGCTTACCCACCACATAATCCTGGCTACCCTCAACACAACCCTGCCTATCCACCGCCAAATCCTGGCTACCCCCATAACCCCAATTACCCACAAAACCCTAGCTATCCCCACTATAACCCTGGCTACCCACATAATCCTAATTATAATCCAAAATGGGGCCACTATGATGCCAAACCATGGAAGCCAAAGCCTCCCAAGACCAATCTGAAGCATATCGCAGGAGCCGCTGCGGTGGGAGCCCTCGGTGGCTTCGTTTTAAGTCATGCCATGTCCAACATGCACTTCAATTTTAGAAACCGCGAGGAGCAACGCTGGTGGTATGAAAACCGTAATCGTTATTCGGATCAAGTCTACTATCCAAAGTATGAGCAGCCTGTTCCACCGGAAGTCTTTGTGCGGGACTGTTGGAACATCACCGTGAGAGAGTTCATTGAGCCCACTGGGAATGACACGGCAGATGAGATGGAGCGCAGAGTTGTGACCCAAGTGGTACACGAGATGTGTGTTCAACAGTACCGTAGCTATTCCGGGCAAGCAGAAGGAGGCAGCGTAATCCACAATACTCACATTCAGGAGCCTAATCCATCTAACCCTGTGATGGAGCGCACACAAGGAGGAGCGGTTGCGGGTACTGCAGTGGGAAACACGGAGCTCAGCTTGGGCGGCCCGATGGGCGATATGCATTTTCAGTTTAATGACAGCGAGGAGCAACAGTGGTGGAATGACAACCGGCATCGTTTTATGGGCCGTGTTTTCCAGCCGAACTACAGCCAGCCTGTTCCGGCTGATGTTTTTGTGAGCGACTGCGTGAATGCCACGATGGGCGAGTACACGAAGCCGAGCGGAAATGAAACGGCCAATGAGACCGAAACCAGAGTTCTGAAACGACTGGTACCCGAAATGTGCATGGAGCTATACCATAACTACTCCAGACAGAGTGAAAAAGAAATGGTTTACAACAGTGACAAGAAGCTGGAGGAATCGATTGTGCCTGTCAAGCTTGCGATCAAGGACATGACTACTAAACACCCCACAGAAAATAACGGTGGAAGAAATGGCGCAATGTCTATGCATTTTCCTTTTGCTGATGCTCTCCTCCTGCCTTCCATGCTCTTGGCCACTGTGTTATCCACAGGTTTCCTGATACCCTGAGGCCAAGGTTTCCCATAAACTTGTACTTGTTGATGTAGCAAATGTCCAGGAGACAAATCCATATTATTCTGCCGTTTTTGTCGAGAATGCACTCCTGCATCTTGTTTACTGAAGCTGTATAAATGACCCCAAGCTGCTATGTACACTTTTCCCTTTAGGACTATCTTTGGCTGCTGTTCCGGAAGAGTTTCGAAGGAAAGATGTCAACTAGTTAGTTTGAATATTTCCACACTCTCGCCACAATCAATATAATCTTCCTTAATAGCAGTCCAATCTTAAGGTAACGGAGGGTGCATTTATACTGGAGAATTAGTACGTTTTGGTGCCACTTTAAGAACCATAGCTCACTATTATGCAGTCACGAGAGGTGGGTGTTTCTAAGGTCTTGAGTCTTCTCTTCCGAAGTGTACGAGTGCCTCGCCATGATTCCTTAGCCCTGGGCTATGGCAGCTCAAGTGGCGCCAAGCTGCATTAATTCTACAGTGTAGATACAGCCTCTGTCTGAATACAAACCATACCAGAAATAGTAGAAAACATCTTACCATATATACTCGAGTATAAGCCGGCCCAAATATAAGCCGAGGCACCTAATTTTACCACAGAAAACTAGGGAAATGTATTGACTTGAGTATAAGCCAAGGGTGGGAAATGAAGTAGTAAAGTTCAAAATAAAAATGGATACCAATTAAATTAAATTAAATTAAAATTAATATGGATACCAATAAAATTAAAATAAATGGATACCCTAAACTTAAGGAGCCCCCAGTGGCGCAGTGGGTTAAAGCGCTGAGCTGCTGAGCTTGTTGACAGAAAGGTCGCAGTTTCGAATCCAGGGAGCGGCGTGAGCTTCCGCTGTCAGCCCCAGCTTCTGCCAACCTAGCAGTTCGAAAACATGCAAATGTGAGTAGGAAGGTAACGGCGCTCCATGCAGTCATGCTGGCCACATGATCTTGGAGGTGTCTACGGACAATGCTGGCTCTTCAGCTTAGAAATGGAGATGAGGACCACACCCCAGAGTCGGACACGATTGGACTTAATGACAGAGGAAAACCTTTACCTTTACCTTTTTACCAATAAAATTACATTAATTGCATTATGTTAATTGGGGCATTCGTAGGTTAATTTTTTTGGACATTTACATAAAACTGTAATGTAAGATAACACTGTCCAGCTCTGACTAAATCATTATTCTAACCTTCTTCAATGTAAAAGTGTTTATGTATCTTACCAATAAAAATGGGCGGAAAAACTAGGCTTATACCTGAGTATATAAAGTATGAGGAGCGGCTTAAAGAGCTGGGCAGGTCTAGCATACAAAAGAGAAGGCTGAGAGGAGACATGAGGAGGGCCATGGAGCAAGATATGAGGGGAAATCTTAGGCAGGAGGGAGCAAGCTTGTTTTCTGCTGCCCTGGAGATTGGATACAGAACAATGGCTTCAAATTACACCAAAGGAGATTCCACCTGAGCATTAGGAAGAACTTATTGTCTGTGAGAGCTGTTCAGCAGTGGAACTCTCTGCCCCGGAGGGAGTGTGGTGGAGGCTCCTTCTTTGGAGGCTTTTAAACAGAGGCTGGATGGCCACCTGTCAGGGACGCTTTGAATGCGATTTTCCTGCTTCTTGGCAGAATGGGGTTGGACTGGATGATGGCCCAGGAGGTCTCTCCCAACTCTTTGATTCTATAATCACCATAGTTTATTTTAAGTATACATTTTGGGGGAAATGCCATGTCTATATGAATAAGGAAAAGTGAGAAAGACTGGCACCAAGGGAGGAGGAGAGGAAGGTGTATGCTGCGCAAGTGTCAGGATGTGGCCTTCATGCTATGAAAACACTGCCGAAACCATGAAGACTCCCTTCCTGACAATAGGATAGTTTATGGCTTGATAGGGAGCCATCTGGTTGCAGAGACTGCTTTGTAGATGTGGGAATGGAATGTAGGCACTTCGTTTATTTGTCAACCAAATACCTGAGGTCCACACAACCGTCCCGGAAGTTGTCAGCTTTATTTCTGGGTCCTTTTCGGGTCCAGGAACTAATTAATCCAGTGGCGGTGCGCCTTGATCTGCCACACACGTGGAGGAAGGTACACCCTGTGTTCCATGTCAGCCTGCTTAAGCCTGCGTGCCCTTCCCAAAAGTGGTCGGAACCGGACTCACAACCTGTCCCCATCATGGTGGGGGCCCACACCCATTTTGAGATCAAGGACATTTTGGACTCTAAACGAACCAGGGGCAAACTTTATTATTTGGTTCAATGGGCCTCGAAGGCTATTCATCCTGAATGGGTGGTTCAGGAACATGTTAGAGCACCCCGGTTGATTAAAAAATTCCATGTTTCCTTCCCGCACAAGCCGGGGCCATGATTTTGTTGTTGCTCACATTTCTCTCTTTCTTTCCTTCCAGGTGGGGCCCATCTTCACAGGGGGGGAGTTATGTCAGGATGTGGCCTTCATGCTATGAAAACACTGCCGAAACCATGAAGACTCCCTTCCTGACAATAGGATAGTTTATGGCTTGATAGGGAGCCATCTGGTTGCAGAGACTGCTTTGTAGATGTGGGAATGGAATGTAGGCACAACTTGAGATAAGGAGGGGAGAAGGGAGGAGGTGCTCAGGGGGAATGTATTACTGGCTGTTGGCGGGAAAACTTCAGATCTCTCTTTGCATGACTCCTGTATGGACTGAATAAACCCATATCCAAAGAACCCGCTTTGTGAGTGCGTGTTTCATTCTGAGATCCCACAGGATCTGACAGCAAGAGAGGAAGGAGAGCTGGGTTTCTGTGCAGAAAGGTGAGGGTCCTGGCAGGAAGCCCTTCTTTCAGCTGACCAAGACCCTCCCCCGCATATAAGCCAAGGGGGGCTTTTTCAGCCTAAAAAAGGGCTGAAAACTAGTTAGGCGATCCCTCATAGTCCGAGGAAGATGGTCCTCCAAGAGCGGTGTCCTGGGGGTGGGTCCGTAGGTGACTGTGGAGCCATCTTCTTAATCTGCATCTTCTCCCTTCCGCAGTGAGGGCATCGGTTTCCAGACGGAAGGCGGTTTCAGACGGGGTTGGTTTCACATGCCTTCCTCCTGGCACATTTCTCTCTTTCGCCCTCCATTCGTGCCTCTTCAAATTCCGCAGCACTGCTGGGCACAGCTGACCTCCAGCTGGAGCGCTCAAGAGCCAGGGCTTCCCAGTTCTCAGAGTCTATGCCAGAGTGTTTAAGGCTGGCTTTGATCCCATCTTTCAATCTCTTTTCCTGCCCACCAAGGTTCCGTTTTCCATTCTTGAGTTCGGAGTAGAGCAACTGCTTTGGGAGATGGTGGTCGGGCATCCGGACAATGTGGCCAGTCCAGCTGAGTTGATGGTGGAGGACCATCACTTCAATGCTGGTGGTCCGCTTGTCTTCCCAGGATTGTCTTTGCAGGATTTTTCGGAGGCAGCGCTGATGGAATTGTTCCAGGAGTAGCATGTGTTGAAAAACTAGACTTATAACCGAGTATATACAGTATTTGACAGCCTATTTCTGTTGCCACAGGACTGCATGTTTTATTTTGTAATATGGCATTTTACATTGAATAAAGGTTGTGAGCAAATGTGAGTAGATCAATAGGTACCGCTCCGGCGGGAAGGTAACGATGCTCTATGCAGTCATGCCGACAGTTTGACCTTGGAGGTGTCTATGGACAACGCCGGCTCTTTGGCTTAGAAATGGAGATGAGCACCAACCCCCAGAGTCGGACACGACTGGACTTGATGTCAGGGGAAAACCTTTACCTTAACCTTAAAGCCTGTTTTAGGGAGAAAGGAGAAATCCTCCATCTCAGTTATCTTTGCTGACGGAGCATTCTCCAACGGTCTAGATTTGGTAGGGAGAGTTCTGATTACTCCTCCGTTGCCCGGCATCTCCTATCTGCTGTCAAAATGTCCCCATTCCTGTCTCTGTCACTACTTCAGTTCCTGCAAAGTGAATTCAAGGAACAAAGTTTGCACTGAATTAACTTACTCCAGGGGAGAACAAAGGAGGATGCCGAATCTTGCCCTTCCCAGTCGACTTCAGCAAAAGCAAACTGCTGCAGTGATTTCTCACTTGTGTGTTGTTCCATCATCTCATGTTGCTTAGCCATCTGTTCCATCTGTGAAGTGTTGGAGGGTATATGGGAGTGGTTTCTGGTGTTACATAACTTGAGGGAAGCCAGGAAGCGCAAGCGCCTGATGCTTCCTGGGGTCCAAAATATATCTCCATGTGACGTTTCCGTACCCGTTGCTTCATTGAGTCACACGAGTCTCATCACGATGGAAGGAAGTAGGGTGTAAAAGTTACGCTTCAGGAGTTGTGGAAAGATGCCATGAACCCATTTCTAGTTCTCAACCGAGTTGAGGGTCTGATCCATTCCTGAAGGGAGTGAGAACAGAATATTAATGGAACAACGAAGAGGAGATGCAAGTTTCCTCTAACTACTTTCTTCCATTGTTTGAAGAAAAGTTCAGATAGAGAGCCATTTTCCAGGCAAAACGTTTCTCAAATTTCAGTATGGTGGCGAAGCAAAAGATGTCTGTTTCCAAAAGACAGCATTTTAGAGGCTTCACAAGGACGCTCTGTGTTTTCTGCTCTTGCCACAGGGCTTATGGGGATGCGGCGCACTAAAATACTCCCCCAAGAGCCCTAAGAATATTTAGATGAATGTGCTTCTTGAACGGTACACTCCGCCGTAGCACTTTCGCTTATGTATTGTGAAAACCAGTTTTCGGTGAAACCCAATCCTTGCTCCGGCCAGTTTATGTCCCTTCTGCAAGATCTCGAGTCCTTTCTGTCTTGTTGAGTCAGGCCCTTCTTGGCAGAGGAAGTGGGTCAGGATGGACATTCTCTTTAACTAGCTTAGTGGTGTCAGCCCTCCACATTTGCTGGGATTACGGGCGCAGGACCCCCAGGAATGTGGAAAAAACATGAATTTTAAAAACCACTATTTTCAAAATCTGAGATAATGTCTTCTGGGAATCTCTAACTCCTCCTCCACAACTTTGAGCATCAACTTCCACTAAAAGATCTTGAGATGCATTCTCTCTAGGAATGTCTAGGTTCGCCAGTATGAGTCTATAGTCAAATTCCAGCAGAAATTGCACCAGAAGGACCTAGAGCAGCGTTTCTCAACCTGGGGTCAGGACCCCTGGGGGAGGGGCGTAGTGAGGGGGGTGTCGAATGGGTTGCCAAAGACCATCAGAAAACACATTTTGTTAGTCATGGGGGTTCTGTGTGGGATGTTTGGCCCAATTCTGTCATTCAGAATGCCCTTTCATTGTAGGTGAACTATATATCCCAGCAACTACAATTCCCAAATGTTAAGTCTATTTTCCCCAAACTCTACCAGTATTCATATTTGGGCATATTGAGTATTCATGCCAA